CCACTGCGCCACCAGGGAAGTCCCCTGCTGCAGTTTCCGGCACAAATGTTGTAACTTCCAAGCTGTAGACTGTATTTCCGTATTAATTTATGCATCTTATAAAAACAAATGGCGGGGGCTTCCCTGGTGGTGCAGTGGTTAAGAATCCGCCTGCCAATGCAGGGGACACGGATTCGAGCCCTGGTCTGGGAAGATCCCACATGCCGCGGAGCAACTAAGCCCGTGTGCCACAACTACTGAAGCCCGCACACCTAGAGCCCGTGCTCCACAGCAAGAGAAGCCGCACCAATGAGAAGCCCAAGCACTGCAATGAGGAGTAGCCCCCACTCACCGCAGCTAGAGAAAGCCCGCCTGCAGCAATGAAGACCCAAAGCAGCCAAAAATAAATAAATAAATTTTTTTTTTAAATGGGGGAATTCCCTGGCAGTCCAGTGGTTAGTTAGGACTTGGCACTTTCACTGCAGTGGCCCGGGTTCGATCCCTGGTCAGGGAACTAAGATCCTGTAAGTCTCCCAGCACAGCCAAAAAAAACCTAAATGGGCTCTATAAATAGGATAAGATGCCAGATACGGGGAAATATTCATTATTGCTTTGGCTGTAATGAAAAAGTTTTTATGGGGTTTATTATAGCTCCAGATGCTCTGATATTATCTTTGCATTCAATCACAAAAGGATATGAAAAATTTGCCTGCTCATGTTCTTTTACAGTGAGAGGAAAAATATATATAATCATTTTATTTAACCATTAATCTATTTGATAAGTTTTATAGCATGGAAGACATCTAGATTTTTATTGAATATAAGATTTAAGATTTCTGCTTAGATTGTATCAAGGTGTATATCAAGGCTTTCAAAATTGTTAGGTGATTAAAGCATTATCACTAGCTGACACCAGTACTAAATATTAGATTGATTTTAGGTAAAGGAGAGATATTTGGTATAGCCAGTTAAAGAAAAATACAACTTAATCCAGATCTGTATTCTTAGATTTAATCCCAGAATTTATTACCAATCAAGAAAATTTTCCATAAAACTTGTTTAACTTTTTGCAACTGTAAGTTTGCCTAGTTCTGTCAAATTAGGCATAGCCAAGTACTAGACTCATAGAGAACTTACATTAGAGAGCTGTCTACCCAAGACCATACTTTAGTTGAAATTTTTCATTCTTATTTATGTAGCCAACAGAAGAGAGGTCCCTCTGATGCTACAAATTTAGGGGGTGCAAGTTGGATCCTAGTTACTAGTGGTTCTATTTTTATTAATTTTTCTATATCGCTTATTAACTTCACCTATTTTTGTACCAGTTCCTCCAGTCGAGTTCTGTTCCAGGGCTTCTCAAATTTTAATATGTATTCAGAACTAGAACAAAAAATTTCACAATTTGTATGGAAACACAAAAGACCCCGAATAGTCAAAGCAATCTTGAGAAAGAAAAACAGAGCTGGAGGAATCAGGCTCTTGGACTTCAGACCATACTACAAAGCTACAGTAATCAAGACAGTATGGTACTGGCACAAAACCAGAAATATAGATCAATGGAACAGGATAGAAAGCCCAGAGATAAACCCACACACATATGGTCACCTTATCTTTGACAAAGGAGGCAAAAATATACAATGGAGAAAAGACAGCCTCTTCAATAAGTGGTGCTGGGAAAACTGGACAGCTACATGTAAAAGAATGAAATTAGAACACTCCCTAACACCATACACAAAAATAAACTCAAAATGGATTAAAGACCTAAATGTAAGGCCAGACACTATCAAACTCTTAGAGGAAAACACATGCAGAACACTCTATGACATAAATCACAGCAAGATCCTTTTTGACCCCCCTCCTAGAGAAATGGAAATAAAAACAAAAATAAACAAATGGGACCTAATGAAACTTCAAAGCTTTTGCACAGCAAAGGAAACCATAAACAAGACCAAAAGACAACCCTCAGAATGGGAGAAAATATTTGCCAATGAAGCAACTGACAAAGGATTAATCTCCAAAATTTACAAGCAGCTCATGCAGCTCAATATCAAAGAAACAAGCAACCCAATCCAAAAATGGGCAGAAGACCTAAATAGACATTTCTCCAAAGAAGATACACAGATTGCCAACAAACACATGAAAGAATGTTCAATATCATTAATCATTAGAGAAATGCAAATCAAAACTACAATGAGATATCATCTCACACCAGTCAGAAGGGCCATCATCAAAAAATCTACAAACAATAAATGCTGGAGAGGGTGTGGAGAAAAGGGAACCCTCTTGCACTGTTGGTGGGAATGTAAATTGATACAGCCACTATGGAGAACAGTATGGAGTTTCCTTAGAAACTGCAAATAGCGCTACCATATGACCCAGCAATCCCACTACTGGGCATATACCCTGAGAAAACCATAATTCAAAAAGAGTCATGTACCACAATGTTCATTGCAGCTCTATTTACAATAGCCACGACATGGAAGCAACCTAAGTGTCCATTGACAGATGAATGGATAGAGAAGATGTGGCACATATATACAATGGAATATTACTCAGCCATAAAAAGAAACGAAATTGAATTATTTGTAGTGAGGTGGATGGACCTAGAGTCTGTCATACAAAGTGAAGTAAGTCAGAAAGAGGAAAACAAATACCGTATGCTAACACATATATATGGACTCTTAAAAAAAAAAACGGTCATGAAGAACCTAGGGGCAAGACGGGAATAAAGATGCAGACCTACTAGAGAATGGACCTGAGGACACGGGGAGGGGGAAGGGTAAGCTGGGACACAGTGAGAGAGTGTAAAACAGATAGCTAGTGGGAAGCAGTCGCATAGCACAGGGAGATCAGCTAGGTGCTTTGTGACCAGCTAGAAGGGTGGGATAGGGAGGGTGGGAGGGAGACAAAAGAGGGAGGAGATATGGGGATATATGTGTATGTATAACTGATTCACTTTGTTATAAAGCAGAAACTAACACACCATTGTAAAGCAATTATACTCCAAAAGAAATGTTTAAAAATTTTTTAATGTGTATTAAAAATCACCTGGGAATCTTGTTAAATGAAGATACTGACTCAGTAGGTCTTGGGGGGCGGGCGCCAAATTCTGCATTTTAAAAAAAAATTTATTTATTTATTTGGCTGCGCCAGGTCTTAGTTGCGGCACTCGGGATCTTTAGTTGAAACATGCAGGATCTAGTTCCCGGACCAGGGGTCAAACCTGGGCCCCCTGCATTGGGAGCATGGAGTCTTAACCATTGGACCACCAGGGAAGTCCCCCAAATTCTATATTTTTAACAAATTCTCCAATGGTACCAAATTATGCCGGTCCAAAGATCATACTTTGAGCAGCAAGGAACAAAATCACCCCCACCCCTCTCTCCGTATCAATGGATGGTCAGACTGATATTAGATACAGTGATGTTTATTAGAGGATCAGTGATAACGTTGCAGGAAGGGGGACCCCTTCCAGGGTCCAAGAGTGGGCTCTTGTCTAACACGCGGAAATGAATTGTCTGAGGAGATACACACGCTGACAAAACAAGAGACTTTATTGGGAAGGGGCGCCCGGGCAGAGAGCAGCAGGGTAAGGGTACCCAGGAGAACTGCTCTGCCACACAAAGTCTCAGGTTTTATGGTGATTGGGTTAGTTTCCAGGTTGTCTCTGGCCAATCATTCTGACTCAGGGAACTTCTTGGTGGCGTGCGCATCACTCAGCCAAGATGATTCCTGCGAGGATTCTGGGAGATTGGTAGGACATATGGATTGGTGTCTCCTCTCTTCTTTGAACTTTCCCGAATTCTTCCCGTTGGTGGTAGCTTATTAGTTCCTCGTTCCTTACCAGGACCTCCTGTTGTAAGATGATTCGTGCGCGTGGCTACTATCTTGCCTGGCCAGGGCGGGCGGCTTTGGTCAGTGTTTCCCCTAACAATAATCTTCAGTCCTTCCAGCACCAATTTGCAAATATTTGGTTATCTTGTCAAACGAGGGCACTGAGGGATGAAGTGACCATGTACCTGATGGGCAGCATAAATGGCTTACACACTCAGAGTTCATCCCAAGCCCCAAAGGTTTTTTGTTTGTTTTGTTTCCTTTTTTGCCTGCAACTCACCACAGCTCATTAAGACTGTGGATTACTGTATTCTGCCTCAGAGGAACTCCTGACCATGTGGAAGTGCCCCCTCTGGTCCCCATGTTGTTCTCATGATCTCAGCCTCAAATTATGTGGGAAGGCTGTGATGTCCTTATGTTTGTAGGGCTGTGATCCTTGTTCATTCCTTTAACAGGTGGTATAAAGCTGACACCAGAGGCATCTTTTTGCCACTTGACTGTGTCACTAATATTTGAAAAGGGCCTTTCCCTGGAGATCCAAGAAAGATTTGCACCGATTAATCTAGAATTCTAGATCACAGCACTATCACTTGTGATGTCATGGGCCATTGGGATTTTCTGAGAAAGCTGCTTCAGCCTGCAAATGACAAGACTGGAGACAATTTCCTAGTCTTGATAATGAGGTGACTTGATAATCAGTCACTGGTAACTATAAACTAAAACAACTCAGTTTGATGTGGTTTTCACACTCATTAGGGTGAAAGGGAAGTTTTAAGCCATCTTAAATTTGTGTTGTTACAGATTATAGCTTGGTCTTTTTTTTTAATTAATTAATTAATTTTTGGCTGCGTCGGGTCTTCGTTGCTGAGTGTGGGCTTTCCCTAGTTGTGGCAAGCAGGGGCTACTCTGTCGCAGTGAGCAGGCTTCAGTAGTTGTGGCTCGTGGGCTCTAGAGCGCAGGCTCAGTAGTTGTGGTGCAGGGGCTCAGTTGCTCTGCAGCATGTGGGATCTTCCCGGACCGGGGCTCGAACCCGTGTCCCTTGCATCGGCAGGCGGATTCTTAACCACTGCGCCACCAGGGAAGCCCCTATAGCTTAGTCTTTTAAGGTTTTATTTCTCTGTTAATTCTCCCACACTTTGAGGCTGATTAGTACAGATTTTTTTTTCAGATTATTTTCCCATCATAGGTTATTACAAGATATCGAAGATTGTTCCCTGTGTTATACTGTAAATCCTCGTTGTTTATTGTATATATAATAGTGTGTATCTGTTAATCCCATATTCCTAACTTATTCCTCCCCCTCCCTCTCTCCTTTGGTAACCATAAGTTTCTTTTCTTTGTGAGTCTGTTTCCGTTTTGTTTTGCTCTTTTAGAAGTAGACTTATTTATTTACTTATTTATTTGGTTGCACCGGGTCTTAGTCGCAGCAGGCATGCTCTTTATTTTTATTTTTTTAATATGAATTTTAAAAAATAAATTTATTTATTTATGGCTGCGTTGGCTCTTCATTGCTGTGCGTGGGCTTTCTCTAGTTGTTGTGGCGAGCGAGGGCTACTCTTCGTTGCAGTGCACGGGCTTCTCATTGTGGTGGCTTCTCTTGTTGCGGAGCCTGGGCTCTAGGCTTGTGGGCTTCGGTAGTTGTGGCTCGCGAGCTCTAGAGCACAGGCTCAGTAGTTGTGGCATATGGGCTTAGTTGCTCTGTGGCATGTGGGATCTTCCAGGCCCAGGGCTCAAACATGTCTCCTGCATTGACAGGTGGATTCTTAACCACTTCGCCACCAGGGAAGTCCCAGGTGTGCTCTTTAGTTGTGGCTCACAGGCTCCTTAGTTGCGGCTCGCCAGCTCCTTAGTTGTGGCTTGTGAACTCTTAGTTGCAGCATGCATGCGGGATCTAGTTCCCTGACCAGGGATCAAACCCGGGCCCCCTGCATTGGGAGCGTGGAGTCTTAACCACTGTACCACCAGGGAAGTCCCTGTTTCTATTTTGTATAAAGGTTCATTTGTATGATTTTTTAGATTCCACATATGTGATATCATAAAATATTTGTCTTTCTCTGTCTGACTTAGTATGATATTCTCTAGGTCCATCCATGTTGCTGCCAATGGCAATATTTCATTTTTTATGGCTGTGTAATAGAATAATATTCCATTTTGTATACACATATATATCTTATTAAAACAATAGTCTGTTGACCTTATTTCATAATTAGGCAAAAACTTCATAAGCCATGTACAGATGGAATGATGCAATGGGCCCAGATTTCCTTTCTTTAAATTCAAGTGTTGTAGTTTAAGGTTTATAGCATATGGGTCCAAATCACGCTTTGTGTTTAAAAAATGAGCACAGCCTAATTTTAAACGAGAGGTTATTGATTTGCTTGGATTTGCCAGCATTCTTAAATGACTTCTAAAAGTTGGACACAGTACTTTGTGTTCTCACAAGTGTTCAGCACAGCTGCCCTGGGAGCGAGCAGAGTAGCCTTGCTCGCAGTGGTGAGCCACGGGTGCAGGTAAAGGGAAGGATGAAAGAAGCAAAGACTCAGCTTGGAGAGACATACCTCAGAAGTCTTCTAAAGAGTCACAGTGATGATGGTAGAACAGTATGGGTGACATGATCCAACTTCTGAAAAAGCCAACAAACTACCTGTGAGCATGATGGGAAGGAGAGATACCCACCAAACCATCAGCAGTTGGTTGTCAGCCAGTAGGGGTTACTTCATACACTTCTGTTGATTCTTTTTTACCTGATCGTATATGAGGCACGAGCTTTGGCCATCAGCAGGTGCTCCCCACTCATTAGTAGGTCAGCTCATCAAAGGTCCCCAGTCCCCTGCAAGCTGAGCAATGCAGTCTGAGGGGGGGGCCCTTAGCTGGCACTGGAGGTGGCAAGGGGCTGGCAGGAATGAGCAGTCTGTGGAGAATTGCCATGTTCCGGAAGGTCTATCTTCAGCCAGACCACATGGCTTCTGCAAGGCCTAAAGGGGGGCAGGGGGGACCAGGCTGGGAGAGCAACTGTCCACTGGGCTAGAGAAGAGGGCACGAGCGCCTCAGAGAGCATCTCCTTCCCCAGTGACACTCTGGCTCCAGATCTGCTAGCAGACACTTCATTCCCCCAAACATCCAGCTCTTTCACCCCTTGGAGAAAGCCGAGGCTGACCAGGCTGCTTCTGTGGCTCAGCAGACAGTCACCCTGAACAGGGTGGCCAATAGCCTGCCTTGGGCAGAGGCCCAGTCCAGAGCTCTGCTTCCCTCTCTCATTTCAGTACATCCCTTTGCCAGTGCTGTACGGAGTCTTCCTCTACATGGGTGTGGCCTCCCTGAATGGCATCCAGGTAAGGCTCTCCCCTTAGGTCCTCTAATCCTCATTTTACAGATGAGGAAACTGAGGCTCAGAATTCAAAACCCAGATTGAGCTGACTCCTACGAGGATTTTACTACACCTCTCTCTTCTCTAAGGCAATTTGCACAGAAGAAAACATTCTGTTCTGTTTTGTTCTTTATTTACCATGATACACCAGATGTCTTGGATAGCTTGTGTTGCTGTTAAGTTGCATTCTCCTTGAATGTGGGCAATGTTTACTGGGGCCAGCGCCAGGGCTGTAGCCCTCACCAAGGGCTCAGCTCTCCCCCGCCATAAGACCTCATTATACATCCTCCGAGACCTCCAGTCCCCTTCTTTTGCATCCTTAAGGCCTGACCAGGGGCTCCCCTCTATGAGACCCCACTGCAGCACCCATTTCACCAGACCCAAGCCCCCAGAGGGGCCACCAGGGTCCCCATGGCCTGGCTGAGCCTTCCTCTCTCCTCACCAGTTCTGGGATCGCTGCAAACTCTTCCTGATGCCGGCCAAGCACCAGCCGGACCATGCCTTCCTGCGGCACGTGCCCCTGCGCCGGATCCACCTCTTCACCCTGGTGCAGATACTGTGCTTGGCTGTGCTCTGGATCCTCAAGTCTACGATGGCCGCCATCATCTTCCCAGTCATGGTAAGATGAGCGCAGTCTTCCCCCTCGTGTTCAGCAGGTTCAGATGGGGAAGGTGTCCAGGGGGAGACTCACCCTAGCCTTCTCCTCCACAGTGGCCTGATTCTCTCAGGGTCACAAAGGCAGGCACAGATCAAGATTCGGGTTGTGACTCCAGACCAAGTAGAGCTGGGGGGCGGGGGTGTGGTGGAATGGAGAGGAGAGATGGGGAGGGAAGTTGTATGTGGTGGGTGGATGCTGTAGTGACAGCCCACACGCCTGCCTCCACCCAGCTCAGGTCAGGGCGGCTCAGTGAGAATGCAAAAGCCAACCAACCTTCCCAACTCTGGGGTGCGATGGAGAAACTGGGCAAATTCAACAAGGAGACTGAGTTCCCCACTGCCAAAATTCAAACCCAGTGCGGAAGTAGATCTACACTAAATATAATTCTTCACTCTTCAATATAACTGAATTTGAAAAGATAAATGGGGGGATAGGATGGGGAGAGCTAGAAATAGAGATTTAGAACTTCAGAGTCCAATGTCATTAACATGTCATTGTTTGGAGAAGCTGGGGCAAGTATGTGAGCATTCTTTGTCTATTCTTGAAATTGTGTGTAAGTTTGAAATTATTCCAAAATTAAAAGTGAAAAGAAGAAAAGCCAACAACATGTTGCATCTGGCATCTAGATCGCCCATGGAGGGCAGTGGCCTCTGCCCCAGCTGGGGCATGGGGAATGGGAGGGGGGACTGTGGGCTAATGCTTGTGGGAAGCCCTAGGTGGGCCCTAAAGCCTGCAGGGCTGGATTAGGGACCGAAGTGAGGACACAGAGTAGGATTTGAAATATCCTGGCAGGATTCTGAGTCAGTGATTCTTGACCCTGGCTGCTCATAAGAGTCACTTGGGAGCTTTTTAAAAGCACATGCACCCAGGCCTCAGCCCAAATCAATGAACTCAGAATCTCTTAGAGAAACCCAGGCACTGGTATTTATAGTAAGTCTACAGGTAAGCATAAATGTTCAGCCAAGGTTGAAAACCACCACTCCAGGGAAAGTGAAATGGATCCTCCCCAACAGTGCCTTCATGGGTTTCAGAGGTGAGGAGGGGAAAGGATCGTCACAATTGGCATGGACTGAGTGCTATTTCATTTAGTCCACACCTTCCCTAAAGAACTACCATTTTACAGACTGGAAAACTGAGGCTCAGAGAGCATGTGTGAGTGACTCAAGCCACACAACCAGCAAGGAGCAGAGCCAAGATTCACACCTTCCCCCATATTGATATTTTTTAATTTACATGCAGTAAAATTGACTCTGCTGTTCTATGAGTTTTGAAAAAACACAGAGTAGCGATTCCGCCACCACAGTCATGATACAGAACAGTTCCATCACCTCTAAAATTCTGTGTTGTCCCTATGTAGACAGCCCTTCTTCCTACCCCTGCCCCTAGCAACCATGCTCTGTTTTCAGAGCCAGGAATTTTAAAAACCAGGTCTGACCAACTCCCGAGCTCTGCTTGCTTCCAAGACACAGGGTCAGTGAGGACCCAGTGCTGGATGGTTTTCTCCCTGACCTCATCTAATGGCTAGTTCTTGGTGGTGAAAGGACAATATTCATAACTAGCTACTTGGACCCATTGCATCTATTAAAAGTCAGTGTTTAATCTTCTCCAAAGAGCACGTGTTTTGCCTTTGTTTATCCTGAACAGAACCAAACTTTCTAGACTTTCCTTTAAAAATTCTAGATATGCCAGTATACTTTATTCAGTTTGTTAGCAGAGAGATTGGCAGCTCTCAGAAATGGGGGCATGGGGACAGTTGGTCTCAAAGTGTAATCCCTGAATCAGCGGCATCAACATCTCCTGGCAATCTTGTTAGAGATGCAAATCTCAGGCCCCACCCCAGACCTTCTGGGTCAGAAACTCACCCAGCACCTAGAAGTGTGGGTATTAACAGCCTGCCAGGTGATTTGATCTAAGCTCAAGTCTGAGAACCACTAATTTAAAGAATAACTGTAGTTCTCCACCCACGGTCCCCATCTGGCTCCCCCCCCCCCACAGCTGTCACAGGCTCTGTGCCTCTGGGTCACTGGTAGGCATCGCCACTCAACTGAGGAGAGGCTGGATGAGAGGAACCAAGATGGGTGGGAGGTGAACAGTGGTTTGGGGGAGCTTTGAGAATGTTCCAAAGATACCAGAAAAAGTCCCTGAACATAGCTGACTGAGGGAGAAAATGAATTGTGCCCAAGTTCGGGGCCTTGAGCCCATGGTTTTCTCTGAACTCTCACCACAGATACTGGGCCTCATCATCGTTCGAAGGCTTCTGGACCTCATCTTCTCCCAGCATGATCTGGCCTGGATTGACAACATCCTTCCAGAGAAGGAGAAAAAGGAGGCAGATAAGAAGAAAAGGAAAGGGGCCCATGAGCACAGTGAAGAGGAGGTGGGGAGGATGTGAGGCCTGGGCTGATGGGAGGGATCAAGAGACCCTCCCTCCACCTCTGCCATGGCCAGGGTGGGGAGGCTTCTCGGGTAGCCAGGAGCGATTGATTGCCTGGGCCCCGTGTCAGTCTGGTGTGCTGAGATCGCGTCTATTCACGTGAATACCCTCAGCGTAGGCCAGAGTGAAGAGCCCTCTCATCCAGGAAAAAGTCAGTTGGCCATGACTATTTTCCCCCATTCCTGTGGGCTCTTGGGGCCATTACAACAGCACTGTAGGTCCCTGAGGGGACAGGGCAGAAGACTCGGCTCCATCATGGAGGAGGTTATGAGGACTGACCTCCAAAGAACAGAGCAGGCCCAGGGGGAGGGGTCTAATAGGGACTCATTAGTAGACTGGACTCCCGGGCAAGTGGGAGGACGGGGGACAAGCCTTGCTTGGGCCTGTCCATAGGGTCCTGGGCAGAGAGGTGGGGGAAGACGCACGTGGCCTCCTGAAAGGAGGGTGACTACATTCCCCAGATGCCTGGGACCACTCAGTCTCAGTTGTCCCATCTGCCCCTCTCTTCTCCCACGTTTCCTCCCCATCTCACCCCAAAACACTCAGGGAGTCAACAGACAAGAAGCCAGTCCAGGACTTATAGTAAATCACAAAGTGTTAGTGAAGAAGCCTGTCTGGTTCAAGTGTTCATTACAGATGATGGAACTGTCCCCCAAAAGGGAAGTGACTCGCCCAAGATGGACGTATAGGCTAAATGTCTAGGAGGGAGCTAAGAAAACCATTCCGGCTTTGAATCTGATCATTTCCAACACACTAAGCTGCCCATGTCCTTCCTAACACCATGCCTGGCTCCCATTCTCCCAGTTTGACCCAAACCCACATCCCTGCCTCCACCGTGAACTGTTCTCCTAGCAATCTTGCCTTTTGCAGATCAAAGCTGCTCACAGGCAAGCCCTTGCTGACTGATTGGTGACGATTAAACCATCTTCTGATGGTAGTGATAGGCCAAAATTCCCCTGGCCCTTAATTACTGTCCTCTTCCCAGAACGTAAGAGGCCCATAATCCCCACTCACATGTTTTTCATTGATGATTTTTTTTGGCCGTGCTGCACAGCTTGCAGGGTCTCAGTTCCCTGACCAGGGAATTGAACCCGGGCCACAGCAGTGAAAGCCCAGAATCCTAACCGTAAGGCCAGCAGGGAACTCCCCCTTGTTGATGACTTAGATGATTTGCAAAGTTAGGTTCTGAGAACAAAGAAACTGAGAGTCTAAGTGCCTTTGAAAGACAAGTATTATTCTTTCACTGATTCATTCAATAAATATTTCAGTGGCTACCACATGCCAGGAACTATTTCAGGGGTGGGAAAAAGCATCTCTGGTTTATATGATACATTCGATGGAAAAACGGGATTCAATTTACATAAGTTCGTTTTATACACGTGTCTTCAGCTCTTGCGTGAGGTTCACTCCCAAGTGACTGGTTACCACGGCAGCTGAAACTGTTCTGATGAGTAACATTCCTGCAAGAGTTCTGTCCTTTCTCGTGTCCTCAGTGGGCCCCAGGGTAATTGCAGCACCCACTGTCTAGTCTGGATATGAAGAGGATGGCGGTTTGCACACTGTGGACGCATGTATTTTCCATCTTGGCAAGAAAGCCAACACTGTCGTATTGGTGGTATTTATCAGCTTTTCCCACTGTTTCTCTCCAGCCCCAGTTCCCTCCTCCCTCAGTTATAAAGATTCCCATGGAAAGTGTCCAATCAGATCCCAAAAACGGTATCCACTGCGTTGCCAGTAAGTAAAACACACGGTGTCTCTTCCTTCCTACTTACTACTAATGCTCCACCTCTTCCTCAAGGAACTTTCATCTCTAACTCAGGTCTATTGGTCTTAGATACTAAAGGACTCCTGTGCTAGGCAGAGTTCAAGAAGAACTGGGCTACAGGAACTGGAACTCCAACCATATGGAAGCCCCAAATCAAACCATGTAGACTTCAGTGGTCAATCTTCATTAGTTTAGGCAAACCCCCTCTTTCCCTCCTTACCCCTAGTGCCCTCAGATGCCTGTGGCACCACCTTGCCCCCTCTTGCATGACCTGCTGAGCCTCTCATGTTTGCCAGTGGTTACTGAAATGATTGAGAGCTCAAAGCCAAGCTGAGTCGTCCCCTTTAGGAAAACAAGTAGCATCACACTGGGATTATAAATTAGTCAAGGTCCTAGTGGTTGGGCTGTGATTCTGTATGTGCTTGATTCACAAGCACCTTCCACATGTTGAAAGGGAACCTGCCTGGGAAGGATCAGATGTGGCTTATGAAGATCTTGGGGGATTTTATTGCTGCCTTTACCCGCTTCCAGCCTCAGCTTCCTATTGGTGGATAGTCTTGTCATCAAGACAACACAGTCTATCCTGGGAGTAGTCTGAAAGATGCCAACATGGGTCCTGACCCTGGCGCTCCTAAGGGCTTGCCGCTTTCCCCAAAGGCCCATACTGGGGATCCTGCCAGCCCCCACAAGGGCCCTTCAAGGAAGGGCTTCCCATTACATTCTCCTCCAGAAGTACCTCCTCCTTTTGAATTTCTCATGCCCTTCCCCCTTCTCATTTGTATACCTCCATCACCCTTCTTCATTCTTCCCTGGCCCTCACCATGCCTCTCACCCACCTCCGGGTGAAGGAATAATTGAACCAGAAGCCACCCATCTCTGTGAGGCGCCTGTATTCCTCTTGTGTAGTACTGGCCACGGGGTTAGAGAATAGAAAGGAGAAGAAATGGGTGAGGGGAGCACTGTAGAAAGAGGGTATATTCTCCAGAATAGTTCACAGACTGCTCCACATCTGACACTTTGATTTTCCTGCCAGGACAAAGATCTTCCAGTTGGAGTTACTCACTCTGATTCCTCCTTCAGTGATTCAGAACTCGACCGAAGGTAACAGCCATGAGATAAGACTCTCTCTCTGAGTGTTAGATAAGAGCCTAAGCAATGGCTTTGAAAGCGGAGGGACTAGGATTTCCCGGGCTAACCAGTGTCTCAGTCAAAGGCCTTTGCTGGTGCGCCACAGGACACAAAGGTACAGAGCTGATTATTGGGTGTCAAGTAACAAATCTGTCCTCTTACTGACAATATGATTGCACCATACAAAGGCACTGAACTTCAGAAAAGGAAGTTATTACAAAATATTAAGCAGAATGAAAATTGAAAGTAAATATTGAAAAAGGAAAACAGAAGCTAGACGTGATTTAAGCATATATTATTAAAAGCCGGGAGGAATGAACTCTCAAGATCAAAACACCAAGCGCTCGAATACTCTGTGGAGTGGAATAGCAGCATGGTTACTAGGCAAAGGTCAGAAAGGGTATCAAGGAAAGCTAACTAAATATCAACGATCAAGGGGAGATAAAAAACAGTCAAGAAAGGATTCAAGGCCCAGGTTCCAGGAACTCCGATGCCAGCCATGTGATTCCTTGCTGTTCTTAATGAGAAGCCACCCTCAAAAAAAGGTGGGACCACTTGATGACTGAAAACAAGGGGGGGGATCAAAAACGGAAAAGAGGAATTCAGAGGCAAGAAAGTCTGCCTCAGTCGTTACTAGGGAAGATGGTGGGGGCAGTCCCACTCCTACAGTGTGCCCTAAGCTGGACAAGAATCACTGTGCTACATCTGACAGTAAAAGCACGGGCTATCCCAGGACTAGAGGTAGCTGGCTCCAGACGGAGATGGGACTCACCTGAGAGACTTTAGGAAACATGTACAGGATCTTCGGAGTTATGTGTCAAAGCTGTTATCACATTGCCAGGATGAGAAGAGATCTATCACCAGGGTAATAAGCCTCCCTAAGCAGCACTACTGTGTCGCACGTCCAAATGACATCTCTGCCTGCCTTCTCATCCCACCTCCCCAGTCAGGGCTCCTATGCCCTTAATGCCACAGATCTTTATAAATAAATGTGTTAAGAGAAAAGCACTGTCTATCTTATTTTCATTTTAAGGTAGCCTACACAAAATTAAACCTCTTAATGCTCTAATTTCAGTTAATGGAGAGAGAATTTGGTTCAGGATAGGACACCTCCAAAAACCTGTTAAAGTACACAAAGCAGGGGACAAGGTCAGAAATGCAGACAATTTCATAACTAGTGATGGCACCTCCCAACTATGCTGGTGTTTTACTGAATCTATGAAAGTACCTAGAAGTAAAGACAACTAAATAGCAGGATTCCATTTCAGTGAGGAAAAAACTCAGCAACATGATCTGGTTTAACAAAGATTAAGCATCCATGGTCTACCAGGCATGATGCTTAACCTCTGGGAGTATAGAAAGACAGGCATGTGTACCACATGCCAAGAACGGAGCACACATAAGAGAAAGGACAGGCATCTAAAGGAGGAATCTGCCTTACCCAGAGAATCTGGGAACAATAAATAGGAGTCTTCCAGATGTGCAGAGTCAAAGAAAAAAGAGAGAAAAGAAGGCACTGCAGGTATGGAGAAAAGGCCTGAAATATCACACAGACACAGGGCAAAGAACCCAGGATGGATGGGGCAAACAGCAAGCAGGCAGAAGTTTGAGCAAAGAAGGCTCTTGTCTCGCCAGGCTAAGGAGCTTGAATTCTGTCCTTTGAACAGTGGGGAACCACAGTCAGGTTCATGATCCAGAAAGTTCACTTTGGCAGCAATGTGACAAATAGGTTGAAAAAGAGTGAGACCAGCAATTGTGACAGCTGAAGGCCAAGCAGATAGGATACTGCTAGTTCCTGCGATGTGTTAAGAGATCAAAAGCAAAGACAGAGCTGTTTGCACTAGAACCCTGTTCTGGGGGATAGCATTAAAAAACGCCAAATCCTAGATAAATCGTTCTTCCCTCTTCTTTTTCTCATTCAGCATCACCCTGCACTTCAAAATCTCCTGTCCAGCTTCACCTGCCTTCAGCTACTCACAGAGCCCAGTCTTCACGGTGCCACAGGTGAAGATAGAGATGGAGCCAGACTGTGACTTCACAGACATGGAAAGATATGGAAGAGAAGCTGACAGCGAGACCACCCTCTAGGAGGACGGACGGGGCACAGAGTGAGGGCCTGGTTTAGTCTTCACTGCGAGAGTCTGGGCCAAAACCCTTCACTTTTCCAAAGCTGTTTCCTTATTTACCAAACAGAGGGAGTCATTCTGCTTGATAGAAAACTGGAGAGCTGCTGATGGAAAGTACTACTTATGTGCAAAGCCCTCTACTTCCCTCTGTAGTTATGAAAATAACAAAAGCTAAATGTTACACCTTATTTTAAAATGCAGTCCAGCATAGAAATTATAACATTCCTTTTGAAATGAAAAAATGCTTTCTCTCAAAACTGTAGCTAAGATAAAGGGGCACTACTCAATTTTTATATTAAAACAAATATCAGTTAAGACTTTTTTTTTTAAAGCTGAGATTTTAAGTTATCTAGATGGTCTTAAAACAACTTAAAATACTCATGCTTTAATAGACCAAGGTTGGAAATTTTGTTTTGCAATTTTGCATATTAAGAAGTGCTAAAAAGGACCTCTTATCTCTCCATCCACTTCAGTCTTCTAAGGGTCAGAGGACAAGTTTGAACTATCTGCGTTATGAGTCTCGTTCCAGCACAGAAGTGTGCCTGGGGCTTTTCCAGATTGAAAGCTATTTCTAAAAGTCTGGTAACGAAAGAACCAACATGTTTGAGTGGATATTTTAAAAACAAAATAGTTCCTGTTAAAATGAAATCTCAAATCACATGGCAAATCAACAAAATGATCCTCTAAATTAGTATCACTGGTTTTTAAAGCCCAGAGTCACATTTCATTATGCATTTGGGTAGGTCTTTCCTGCGAGTTTTCAATGGCCTGATTCCCAAAGTCAAACTTGCATTCACATTAACATTGCATATTAGGCAGGGCTCATGTGAAATTTTGGAAGATTAAAACTCTGCAATACTAGTCAGACTAGTACTTTAAAGGAATAATTAGAAACAAATTGGGTAGATTTAAAACCCGTTAATAGTGAAGCAAACTCTTTTCCTCATGAAACTTAAGATCAGTCTTCTTATCTTCAAGTCACGTTTAACAAACACCAACCTTGTTTATTTACCACCTACTGTGTGCCTGATAGCCACAATGCATCTGACATTTACCTTCTCCAAAAAAACTGTGGATTTGAATCTTGAGTAAATCACTTTGGTTACGGTTACCACATTTACTCAAGATGACAAATGCAGGTGCTTTTTCTTTATCCCTTTCTATTTTTTAAAGACAAATGACACTAGATCATTAACCACCTTGAGTACAGGGACAGTTAATTGCCTCTGTAATCCCCAGAGCCAGTACAGTGCCTGGTCCATAGAAAGCTCTCAGTGTTTATTAAATTAAATCTCAGAACGCCCTTCCAAGGATACTGCCATGAGGTAAAGCTCTAAACCTCCACCACTTCTACTGAGAGCAGCAGAATTACTTAGCTTTTCACTAATCCAGGACGATTGCCTGAGCTTAAGTATAAATTCTTTGTCTTCATCTGCACCAATTTTGGGAGAGCTAACAATCTACCCTTAACATTTCAGTTTTAAAAACTGGCTGATTTCCAATAGCATTTTGTCCAAATTGAATTGTAGAAATGTTGTGGATTCAGGAGTAAATGTGCTTGATTAATCAAACAAGCTGGAAAACTAGAATGTTAATTTTTTGTTGTTGTAAACTGATCACTGTAATTTTCACATTGCCTGTCATTTGCATTTTGTACACACACACACACACACACACACACACACACACACGAACATTTTAATTTCCATCGCTTTTAATAGGTTGTCAGATTGGTACTTCTCCATGCAGTAACAATAACTTGTAACTACAGTTCAATAAAACTTAATCCTGTCTGCTCGTCTCGCTCCATGTTTGATAATTTGGGTGAGTCAGCAGGCATGGCTGATGTACAGGAACTACACTTCACTTGCAAAAATATCTCTAGCAACTATCACCCCTCTTCGTCTCCAGAAAACTATCAAAAGCATAAAGGCGACGGGCTTCCCTGGTGGCGCAGTAGTTGAGAGTCCGCCTGCCAATGCAGGGGACACGGGTTCGATCCCTGGTCAGGGAAGATCCCACATGCTGTGGAGCAACTAAGCCTGTGCGCCACAACTACTGAGACTGTGCTCTAGAGCCCGTGCTCCACAACAAGAGAAGCCACCGCAATGAGAAGCCCACGCACTGCAATGAAGAGTAGCCCCCGCTCACCACAACTAGAGAAAGCGTGCGCAGCAACGAAGACCCCACACAGCCCAAAACAAATAAATAAAATAAATAAATGTATAAGAAAAAGCATAAAGGCGGCACATGAACAAGGAGGGGGAGAAGGTCAGCTCTGCATTGCTCTCCTTCCTCTCTGCCTCAAGCTGCCTGGAACAGGAGTTGCTTCTGCCTGCATGAAAGCCAAATACCTAGCCCTTGAGCAGAATACACCGGACCTATCCTCGCTGCAAATGTGCCACAGCAAATACCTTTCAATCTGTGTGATCAAACTAATGCTTTAAACACACACACACAGACACATGAAAAAATTTATATATATGGCGGGGGGGGGGGCTTGGCAAAGCACATCAAGAAGTCCTGTGTAAATTGAACATATGGTTTAGAAAATAATCAGAACAAGACTAACCACTTAAATGACTCTTACAGATTAAACTCCTGGCTTGGCACAACCTTTTGGGATGTAAGATTAAAAGGACTAGGCTGGTTTCTCCACAGCTCTTTAAACCAATTTGTTTAAGGCATTGGATTGGGTATTACCAAATACAGGAATATTTAGGTTGATTACATCCAATGAGAAAAATTAGGTCACAACAAGATAGTAGCAGAAAGATACAGTATTTCAGAAACTCATTCTATACCAGTTAGAAGTGTTTTATTTAAAAAAACGAAATGAAGGAAAAAAGTCCTTTTATCAGAAAGTCTGATTAAATTCAGTATTAACTCAAGTTCTCAAAAATCAATCAAGGAAAGCCAACAGGTGCATCAGAGAAAAGCCAGCAGCTCTTGACAGTTCTTTGGTGGAAAAGTGAGTTGCACACTTACACAAGCTGCCCTGATGATCATGAAGCCCAAGTTATGTTTTCCAAATACAGGTTTTAAGATACACTAAAGAAACCATACAGACACCCCCAACAGTATAAAAATTTGACAGTGAAGTTTAAGGATGTAGGAAAGTCAAATATGACAACACACATGAATAATTTATAAAATAAGCCTTTCAATCCTAGAAAACTGAAATGGGGAAACCTCAGGGATGGTAACGAACATAAAACGAGGGCTAATAGCAAATGAAACAACCCCAAACATTTTCCCAATGACTAAAAGCTACAAAATGACAGCTTAGGAGGCTATTAACATGTAGTTTTTCTTCTGGTTATCAATCAGTACATATATTAAATTAGGGTAATTTTTTTCCTACTCAACTACCATCATTTCTTTCTTTTTTTACCTTTTCCCTAATTTTCTCTTGCAACATTTTTCCTTTGGTTTGACCAGTTGAACTCAAAAGGTCTGGAACCTAAAGTGAGCATCAACTCATTATTGGAATAGCACTTGGGAAATGCAATCGTAGAAAAGACAAATTTGTGCAGCGTTGGTGGTATAGCGGTAAGCATAGCTGTCCTCCTGAAAAAGACAAATTTTAACTGAAGTGGTTGACAAAGTTAGGCAGCCATTCTCAGTGTGACAGCGCCCCCCTGTTAATCAGTAGGTTAATGGCTTCTCTTGGCTGGATCCCATGACCCAGCACGATAGTGGCATGTTCCCTGGTGGGTAACTGCAGGGCTATGTGTGCAAACACCCACCCATTTAAGCTTACAAATAAATAGAAAGCATTGTTTTAAACCATTTAAGTAGAATAAATATTGCATTTCTATTGGCCTGGTTTTCCTCGTGAACTAGCCTGGAGTGCTGTTCGTGACACAGAAGACGCAATAGTTAATTACTTGCTACTCCAAGCTCCTTAGACTTCAGTACTTCCCGCTCTTCAAGCCTCAGCACTTTTTTTGCAGCAATAATGGTATTCTTCATTAGCATTGCCACTGTCATGGGACCAACACCCCCAGGGACTGGAGTGATGTAACCGGCTTTCTTCCTGACTCCTACATAGAAATAAGACAGGCAGACTGTTTTAATTATGGCAAAGGAACTGTATGTACTTTATCATGGAAGAAGCATTCAAAGAAAAAGCAATAAAATACATAAGCATCTTCATAAGCCTCAAACTCATTCAAAAAAATCACAGCTACATTACTCAAGAGTAAAGGCTTTTGAACATACTAATATAAACTAACACACATATAGGGACTTCCCGGGCAGCTCAGTGGTTAGGACTCTGCTCTTCCACTGCAGGGGGCGCGGGTTCGATCCCTGGTGGGGGAACTAAGATCCCGCATTCTGTGTGGAGCGGCCAAAAATAAATAAATCAATAACACACATATAATAAGCAGAGTTGTTCAGTGAATATTTATATATCTAAATAACCTATAATTTACCAGCCATACTTTTCCTCCATATTAAATCAACTTAAAAAGAAACATCTCAGTAGGTTAACTGTATGGGAAGTGTAACTATAATAATAATAAGTATTACTTCAATTAATACCTGCCTACAATATTCTCTTTATTTTATCCTATTTATTTAACTATACTGTTTGCCCAAAGCATCAAGCAAAGTGATTTTCTGGAAAGTAAAAAGTAAGATTTTTTTTACTCCAATCTAAAGGGAAAAATACTTAAGATACCTAGGCTTGGGTCTGACTGCTTTAGAAGAAACAGAAAGCTAGAAATAGGATTATTGGCATAAAATTCAGATAAAATCAGAACTGAAAGGAGAAATCTACTAGCAAATTCCAAAATTTTAGCAATTTGGCTCTGTCCCATACTTTTAACATGCCAGGTCTGTGATCTCTCCTCCCAATATGAAAATGAGAAATCTGTAACACTTTTTAGGAGACTCAATAGTTTAGGAAAATCACTTCATTAAATTTTCAGACTTGTTAAAAGTCTTGAAGTTGTTTTAATTATAAAATAGACCTAAGTGGAAAAAAACAAAACAATTCTCTGAAAACTCTATATCTGTTCTCCGTAATTTGATGATACAAACACCTAAAATAATTCTAGAATGACTGTAATTGTTAAAAAGATTTTTCTTAATTAATTCTCATGGAAAGCATTTTAAATGGTATTACCAAGGTAACATAACTTTAACAGTTAAAATAGTCTGCCCTAAATGTCCAATAACGATAGTATTTATTGACTTTTATATTTTTTAAAAATTATACCATTTACCTTCAAAATCCACATCTCATGGAAAGCATTTTAAATGGCATTACCAAGGTAACATAACTTTAACAGTTAAAATAGTCTGCCCTAAATGTCCAATAACGATAGTATTTATTGACTTTTATATTTTTAAAAAATTATACCATTTACCTTCAAAATCCACATCTCCAACCAACTTGGGTTTAGCAGTTATGGGATCTTGAATTCTGTTTATTCCCACATCAATGACAGCTGCTCCTTCCTTAATCATATCTGCTGTGATCAGATTTGGAATGCCTAGAGATGGAGATAGGAATGATCGGTTTAGTACTGAAAAGAAGATTCTTAGATAAGATTCTTATCTACTTTCAATTGCAAGAGACCTGGAAGAACGAATTAGCTTGTTTTACAAAAACCTATAAAAACTATTAACCCAGGAAATGTTTAAACTTCATATAGTAAACAGGCTGTAGAAAAAAACATTCATCCATCAAATCTATAATGGAATGCCAGAAATCAGTGTTCCAACCACGACCCTCTCCTCATGTTTGTAAGCAGCTCACATTATCGATCCTAGGGGAATAATGAATGGAACAGCAGTGCAGCAGGCAAATTCGAAGATGAGAGTCCCATCTTCACCCTGAGGTGACGCACTCCCGCCCCTTCCCTGGTGCTCGCACCTGCAGCGGAGATCACAATATCAGCAAGAGCCGTATGTTTCTTCAGCTGCTCCTTGGGAGTATATCGATGAGATATCGTGACAGTGGCATCACCTATGAGTTAAAAAATATTTCCGAATCAGAGCTGGGATTGGATGAGATCTCAACTAGGCAAAACATGGCAGAAATTCAACATCTCTGAAAAAATAATTGACAGTTTCTGTGCCATACTTTCTGGGCAGCCAGTTGTCCTTTTTTAAAAAAAAAAAACAAATACTCAGGGCTTCCCTGGTGGCGCCGTGGTTGAGAGTCCACCTGCCGATGCAGGGGACGCGGGTTCGTGCCCCGGTCCGGGAAGATCCCACGTGCCGCGGAGCGGCTGGGCCCGTGAGCCGTGGCCGCTGAGCCTGCGCGTCCGGAGCCTGTGCTCCGCAACGGGAGAGGCCACAACAGTGAGAGGCCCGCGTACCGCAAAAAAAACCCAAACAAACAAACAAAAAACCAAATACTCAATTTCTTGTAACTTTTACCTGTTAGTTCTAGCTCCACCCTTTGGAGTCATACATCTTTAGATTTATTCCTCATCCTATTTAACAGTCTTTCTAAACAAAATATCACTAGGATTACTCAAGGATTTTTCTTAAACGTGTGCTGAAAGATACCTGGAAATATTTAGTTTTGACATTATTTCTGATATAATCATGTATAGTCATATTATGATAATCACATTAACTCTGATTTGAAGCTTTGTCTCAAATAGAACTTGACACAATGATGACACATTACAGTAATAGCAATTCAATCCTTTGCATTGGTCTAAGATTTTTTTCTACCAAATGGCACAGAACAGGACACTAACTTTGAAAAAGTTCTACATCTTAGCTCCAACTATCAAAGCCGTAACTGGAAATTCTAATTGTCTACAACCACGCTTATACTCAAAACTCAAATTTCTGAGGCATATCTATCTCTGAACTAGTTCCATACTAGTGAATATAAATGAACTTTCAAGTGACACTGAATACAGCTTCTCCTACAAAGATTACTCCCCAGGTACCTATTAACAAAATTACAACAAAAACAAAGTTAACACTTCCAAACATCCACAGGGCAGTCTCTCAAGCGTTTCTTGTCTCTCGTAAGGGAGAAGAGGACTCATCCCTGGGAGCAAAACCCTTACCTCCGGGACGTTCGTGCGCCCCATCCGTGTGCAGCAGCACTGCAATGGGCATTCCAACGTTTTTTGACCTTCCAGCCACAAGCACATTCTTCCCCAGGGTTGGAATACCTATGAAAAATAAAGATATTTGCATTTAAGATAGGGCCTAATTATCTTAGAAAGAGCACCTAAGGAAAAGGAAGGCTGATGGCCTAGGATGTGACTCTAATTGTGATAATGAAGGAATTCACTAAGCTTATTGCCTCATCAGTCAACTGGACTGTCACTCGCTACACAGAGCGAAAGCTAAAAGGAAACATTTTATAAGCTGCAAAATGTTATGAGTTGCACAGTCACCACTAGTAAAGCTTAAGTTTCCCTCAGAAGTTTCTGGATTAAACAGCAAAAACAGTTGTCGGCAACTGCTAAAGGAGTTAGGCTCTGGGGAGCAGGACTAGAGGCTGTGGGGTGGGAGTTTCCACTCTTTGCATGAATTTTTACCATTTGTAAGTACTGCCTTGATAATACTGAGACGGATATACCTACCAGTTCGCTTAATTATTTCCCACACACCCCATGGAGTAGCTGGCAACATGGAATTCTGGTCCAAACACATTCGCCCTACGTTAATTACATGAAAGCCATCAACATCTTTGTCTGGAGAAACAGCATTGCAGATCTTTCTCTCATCAATGTGCTCTGAAAAAGAAATCAGAGCGGTGGTCTTAAGTCACTGTTACGTAGTTAGCACTGCTTGACTCCAGCTTACCTGGTTTGCCACAAAAACCTATTCCGCTTTTACAGCTCGCCCCCATGACTTATTTCTTCATCTGCATATAAGGAACACACATCGAGCAAAGCCAAACGCCAAGATCAAAGCCAGTGTCCTGTTGTACAACTGCTTCCTTCCACGGTCCTTTGCTTTAAGATCTCAATACCAAATCAAGGAGTAATTGGTATTCTGAGTAGGTCTGTCCCATATCTAATAACATACTCTCTCTCTTGAGTTTACCTCCCCTTTATATCAAATCCACACAAGGGGCCAGTTGTATAAAGTAAACAAGCCTCTCCATTCCTCAGATATCATTTAAAAGATTTATTTATTTGGCTGCACCGCGTCTTAGTTGCAGCATGCGGGATCTTCCTTGCAGCATGCGCGATCTTTAGCTGCGGCATGTGGGATCTTTGTTGCGGCATGTGGGATCTTTGTTGCGGCATGCGGGATCTAGTTCCCTGACCAGGGATCGAACCCAGGTCCCCTGCATTGGGAGCACAGAGCCTTACTCCCTGGACCACCAGGGAAATCCCCAGAAATCATTTTAAATGGTGATGTCCAAATCTCACCCGGAAGAGGCAGCTGAACAAGGAGGCCATCTACGTTATCATCATTATTTAGTTTATTGATTAAATTCAACAGTTCTTCCTCTGAAATTGAAGCTGGTTTCACAATTGTCTCACTGTTGATTCCTATAAGAAAATTTCAAGGTAAGAAAAAAAGAGGCATTTATTGAGACAATGCTACGTTGTCTGCCATGCTACCAGCGAGGCTTTTTATCATCATACCCACCCTGGTAGCTGGAAAGCTTGAATCGGCTCACAAGTAAACTTAAGTAACTTCCCAAATACAAACACTAAAGAATACTAGCTTGATACTTTCTTTTCTTTTCTTTTTTAACATCTTTATTGGAGTATAATTGCTTTACAATGGTGTGTTAGTTTCTGCTTTATAACAAAGTGAATCAGTTATACATGTACATATGTTCTCATATCTCTTACCTCTTGCTTCTCCCTCCCTCCCACCCTCCCTATCCCACCCCTCTAGGCGGTCACAAAGCACCGAGCTGATCTCCCTGTGTTATGCGGCTGCTTCCCACTAGCTATCGGTTTTAACGTTTGGTAGTGTGTACATGTCCATGCCTCTCTCTCGCTTTGTCCCAGCTTCCCCTTCCCCCTAGCTTGACACTTCCTATATATTGTACTACATAATCCTCATCAACCTCATTTTATAGACAAGGCTCAGTGAAATTGAAACACAGCTGGCTGGTGACAATCTTTCCCGTTCCAAAGTCCATGTTCTTTCCACTGTATCACACTACCTCCCATCCCAATGTCTTAGAAAGCCATGGCTTACTATTTTCTAGAGGTTCTAAAGTTTTTCAATGAAAAGGGCGGGAGGCTTCATTCCTCAGTGATAAAGAATAGAGTATACTAAGGGCTCACAGTCCAGTAACACTGGCCAGACACGCCAGTGGTTTCACAGCCCTTCAGAAGGGCAGGCACACAGCTCTCAGACCACTGACCCACGGATAAGCTGGCAACGGCACAGCTGAGCCTACCCACCTCTGGTCTGCGGCCACACAGGGTCTGCAGTATAGCGAGACCTAGAACACAAACCTCCCATCACTCAGACCTGTGCCTTCTGCACTCAAACCTCCAACCACTTCTAAACTGCTGATTTAATTGGCTTTGGAACCAACTGGTGGAGAAATCAAAGGCTATTTCAAAGAAGTCAGAGTCATTTCCTTCAAATCCATGACTGTGTTCTAGGCCACATCATTGAGGTCTCCTCAACCAAATGCTCAAACACCTCATTCAGACTCATTATTGCTCAAGGAAAGCAGATGTAAACTGTGTTCAGGGTCACCTATCAAATGTTAGACTAGAACAGAATTTAGATTACATTCCAGAAGACACCAAGAATACCAACCATATTCCTGCTGTCCTAGTCTATAAGCCTCCCCAAGAGACAGCCTGATTTCTTTATGACAAATATTTGGATACAGTTCAATCACATTAGCCTCCTCTGCCTGGGTTTTCTAATCAGAAAAAGGAATCATAAAGTGCAATAGAGTTTGCCTCAGGTCAGTCTCAATTTAACAGCAGTCGGGGTCTGAGAGTGACACATACCCACATCGGCAGCTGCTCTGGTTTTGTTGAGGACATAGGAGTGACTTGCAGGATTCTCACCAACCAGGACGACGCTCAGGTGCGGCCGTTTGTGGCCTGACGCCACCCACTCTTCCACCTCCTGCCGCACTTCCTGCTTGATCTGCTCAGCAAGTTTCCTTCCCGAAATGACAACAGCTTCATTTCTGCAGAAGGCAACAGAATCACAAAAACAAATAGCTTGAATCTTTGTAAAGAATAAAGATCAGGCTACAAAAGTGTTATTAAATACCCAAAACTTCAGGAGGTGGGGGAGGGGGAATTGGAAGGTGGTCAAAAGGCATGGTGGGCCCTCCTATCTGCAGGTTCTGCATTTGAGAATTCATCAACCATGGGTCGAAAATATTGGCAAAAAAAATTCCAAAAAGCAAAACTTGAATTTGCCCTGCACCTGGCAACTATTTACATTGTATTTACACTATTAACACAGCATTTACATGGTATTAGGTATAATAACCTAGAGGTGATTTAAAGTATATGGGAGGAGAGGTTATATACAAATACTATGCCATTTTATATAAGGGACTTGACCATCTGGGAATTTTGGTATCCTGGGGGTTCCTGGAACTAAACCCCTTCAGATACTGAGGGATGACTGTACAAACTTCTAGTTATAAGATAAATAAGTACTAGGGACGTCATGTACGTCCTACATTCCCAGTTAGTGAATTGGCTTTTAATTTATACATGCTTTTAAATATATAAATTATGCTATGCAGTTAAACCAATAAGCAATATGCTAGACAAACCTCAAATACCTACCACTCCCTACAACCACTCCTGGAAAAGACTTTCCTGATGAAGAATAGGGATTGGAAGGGGGACTAAGGCGATTCCATCTCATAGGTGGCAGTGTGCTCTACCCCGAGACCCCAGTGCCCCATCCACAGCTGACACACCAGGAGTAAGTATCTGACGCCAAGAATAACAATTTCTAGGCTGGCCAGTGGTCCAGCTGGTGCAAAAGTTTATTCACCGGGAGCGGTGGTAGTGAACTGGACCAGTAAACGCTCCTCTCTGAACTACATTCACACGCTAGAACCACAGGGATGAGAAACTGCTTGTTGGGGGTGAGACAATGAGAAAACTCAGATCTAGAAGAACCTTCAGTTCCCAAAAACATATTCAAATCTCTGAAAGCCTATCTCTCCCCAATAAGAATTAGTAAGAACAATAAGAACAGTTCTTCCTGGGTTCCAACATGTAAGATTCCTGGTTTTCTTATTTCCACATATATGCTTAAAGTTCCCATTATTTAAAATAGGACAAGCATCTATTCCTTAAGAAAAAACACACTGGGGACTTCCCTGGTGGTGCAGTGGTTAAGAATCTGCCTGCCAGTGCAGGGGACACGGGTTCTAGCCCTGATCCAGGAAGATCCTACATGCCGCGGAGCAACTAAGCCCGTGGGCCACAACTACTGAGCCTGCGCTCTATAGAGCCCGCAAGCCACAAGTACTGAAGCCCGCGCGCCTAGAGTCCGTGCTCCGCAGCAAGAGAAGCCACTGCAATAAGAAGCCCGCGCACAGCAACTAGAGAGAAAGCCCGTGTGCAGCAACGAAGACCCAAAGCAGCCAAAAATAAATAAATAAATTAATTAAATTAAAAAAAAAAGAAAAAACACCTCACTGAAAACAAGACTTTCCCGTTAGATTTTTGTCCCCAGTGTCATAAGGAATGCTCCAACCTCAACACCAATGAAGAATACAATTGTTTGAAACATTGAAACAATCTATTTCCCCTTATAGCACATATTTAATTCTCAGGGATAACATCAAGGTACTGGATATCTTGTATGGTCAGATATAATTAATTCTCAAGGCCACTGTTAATTAAAAACTTTAAAGCTTTAATGGTCTAAGCCTTCAATGCCTGCTTTTCAGTTGCACTGTGATTAAATATCTACTTTAAACCAAATCTCAATGTCTTAGATATAATGCAGTAATTTTATATCTAAACCTTATATTAAACATTAATTTGTACTTACATCTTTTGAAGTATTAAGAAGACACCCCTGAGCAGAAGTGTGCATAAGCACTTCTCTTGTGGGGGTCCCAGGCAGACTTTATCAACCCCTCAGCAGAGGAAGTGGGTGAGCACCTTTCTCAGCAGGCTTACAAATCTCTCTTAGGAAGCATCATGGCTGTACACCTTCCCTCCTGTCCTGGATTTCTCTTATCCTCCTTCTCTCCTGACTTCTTGGACTGTCTACTTATCCTTAAGCCTCCCAGCTGGCTTTGCCAGCACGTTGGGTGTTGCCTCTTTTACTTCTGTGGAGAGGTAGCCCTCCTCACCATCTAAAGGACCATATCCTGAGGGGAGCTGTTACCTTGTATTGTTATCACTGCCTTGTGGTCCTTCAGCCCTACCCTTCTATTTGTTTTTCTTTTGTTTAATTGATAAAGTTAATCCATTTAGTTGGCTCAGGGCCTAGGCCTCCTCCCTCCCTCTCTGAAGGATTTAGGCCCTGGGACTCTGGTTGCTTTTTCTCCCACTGGCTCTTGTTCCTTTCCTTGACTAATCCAAAGGGCCTACTCAGGGTCACCGACCAGGCAGATTTCGGGTGCTCACAGGGACCCCACTGTTGACACTAGGAGAATGTCAGGACAAATAACTACCACCTGGCCGGTATCCATCAGACTCCCATCTTATCAGGACATCCCAATTAAAAAATGGGGGCAACTACAAGCATCCCGAAGGACTCGCTGCTAGGATGTGTTACCGAGTCCAAGCTCGCCCTGCTCGCTGCACGACAGGCCAACAGATGGGAGATGAGGTATTGAGACAAGGAATACGACTTTATTCGGAAAGCCGGCAAACCAAGAAGATGGCAGACTAAAGTCTCAAAATAACCATCTTACCATGGTTTGGATGCCAGTTTCTTTTATAGCACAGAGAAGGGAAGGAGATGAGGAAATAAAGTAAAAAGGCCATAAGTTCTGCAAATATCACCTGGAATGGCCAGTCTCGGGGAGGGGACGTGTTAATTTCTTCTTTCTTTTAGCCATCCACAAGTGGAACAGGGTCTGGATGTTTCCCTGAACAAAGGCACTTTGGTTTAACATTCAGGCAGAGGGGCAGGGTTCCCCAAGGCAGGCCATTATGTATAGACAGTATCCTTTTAGTGAAAAAAGCAGCAGAAAGCAAAGGTTAAAGTAAAAGAAACAGGACTTCCCTGGTGGCACAGTGGTTAACAATCTGCCTGCCAATGCAGGGGACACGGGTTTGAGCCCTGGTCCGGGAAGATCCCACATGCCACAGAGCAACTAAGCCAGTGCACCACAACTGCTGAGCCTGCGCTCTAGAGCCCTGAGCCACAACTACTGAGCCCGCGCGCCTAGAGCCCGTGCTACGCAACAAGAGAAGCCACTGCAATGAGAAGCCCACGCACTGCAACGACGAGTAGCCCCTGCTCTAGCCCCTGCTCGCCGCAACTAGATAAAGCCCGTACGCAGCAACAAAGACCCAATGCAGCCAAAAATAAAAGTAAAAATAAACATCAAATAAATAAATAAAAAGATAAAGTAAATGAAACAGATCCAACATGTAGTCTGATTTGGCTCTTCCCTGCTACAGATGCATATTAACTAACTGCGGAAAATTTAGACAGGGTGGTTTAAGAAAAAAATTAATTTTCTTTTGCAATACTGTATGGTCCCAGTACAAACTAGGGGACGAAGTGATATGGCCAAAAAAAAATTGGGTCATTGAATTACAATACCATCTTGCAACTGGACCTATTTTGTAAAAGGAAAGGTAAATGGGGGGAAGTCCCATACATCCAAATGTTCATGACTCTATTCCATAATCCAGGTCTAAAGAACTGCCGGGTGTACCTGGCTCACACCCCTTTCAAAGTGCCTTCTTCACAGGAGCCAAATGTTTTAGATGATCTCTTTATGAGTCCACCTCCCCGAGAGGTCTACCGTGAACTCCTACCTCCCCCAATTGTGAGGGGGGACAGTCTTCCGGACCATTTACCCCTGATGCCGCATCCGAGGAGCTGGAGACACCAGACCCCCATAAATCAGCTCATGGATTTGGCCTTTGGAGTATTTAACAATAGAGAGGCAAAAAGGATTCAGGGACAACAGCAAAAAGCACAGCAAGTGGCAGCAGCCCTAACCACTGCACCACCTCAGGGTTACCATTCCTTGCGAAGGCCCATGGTGAGGACAGGATCCAGGAATGCTGGATCAGAGTCACTATCTTGCCAAAAAGCATCTGTTTTAAGTGTGAATCAGAGGGTCACTGGAAGCAGAACTGCTCCCAGTCCCGAAGGGGACTCGGAGCTCCCAAAGCAATGATGGCCAGGAAGATCGAAGACTGATGGGGCCTGGGACCCTCCCTGGCTCCCAAAGGACACCTGGTCATTTCTCCGGAGAAGCCTCGGGTAACCTTTGACATGGAAGCTAGGAAAGTTATTTTCTTATTAGATACCTGGGCCGCCTACTCTGTGGTGACTGATTTCCCTGGACCCTTGTCCTCCACAAGCTGTATAATAACAGGGATTGATGGAAAGCCCCAAACCAGTGATTCACTCCTCCCCTCAACTGCTTGCTAGGAAATTTTACCTTTGCACATCAGTTTCTGCTCATGCCTTAGTGCTCCCTCCCCTTGTTGGCAAGGGACTTGCTCACTAAATTCCCGACAATAATCCAAGCTGGAGATCCTCACAGAGATAGCACCCACCAAGAAAAACAATTGCTCTTGGTCAGAGGAATCTACCTCAGTCCCAGCGAGAGGAGATCTCCATTCCACCCCATCTAAGCTTTTAGACTATGGGCTGTTAAACTAGTTCATAGCTCTAGAACTAAAGGTTGCTTTCTTCTGCATTCCCCTGCACCCCAGTATCTCTTTGCCTTTGACTGGACAGATCCAGACACTGAAATGCCATGAATGCCTCCACTCTGTGTGCTTATAAAATTCAAGCTGAGGGTGCTTACATGATAGGAATGGAATGGACCAAAAAAAAGAAAAAAACGTGGGCTAGAAATTGTCCAGCTACCTTTAAAAATGCGATCACGTGAGGCCGTAGGCAAGCCGCCTCAGATCAAAGGCCTGACTGAGGGCCATAATTTAAAAATTTCTTAAACCCAGGGAGGATGACCAAAAGTGCTTGTAAATAGAGTACCAAAATGGGAGG